TGTTGAGCATACAAATTTGTTTTCTTGTATGCCTCGCAAATGCACCATATACCACAGATCTGGGTCCTGAAATGACTTGGGGATCCCTTGAAATGACACAATGTTCCAAATATGTGGTCAAGGTGTAAAGTTTTGATACGATATATTCTATATGGGGTGTATCGTATCGTATCTTTGAAAAACAATAAGGGATATGCATAGAAATCGGGTGTCTCTTTTTTTTCATGTGTATCGGATTCGTATTGAGGGTATACCGGTAGCGTATCAACAAAAAAGATACGACCAAAAACTGAAAAAAAAATAAAGGGGGAAAAGCAAGCTTATTTTCCCTGAAATAAGCCTTCTCCCCCCCTCCCCCAAATGACTTTAAAACTCCAAACCTCATTTCTAGAGTGCTAAATTTGCAAAATTTTGCAAAAAATTGCAAGAAACAAGTGTGAATCGTTAATTTTGTTTGATGATTTTTTGAATTTTGAAAATATATGGCAAGAATAGGTAAGCTTTTTCAAATTTTTATAATATCTTGTGATTTCTTTTTTTCTTGAATGTTTAAATTTATGTTGATCTACATTTCTTACATTCAAAATCACAATTTTTTGTGTTATCGGTAGATTTACGGAAATTTCATGAAGATATTTAGGCAAAATATAAATTAACAAAAAATTTGAAAATATAATTTTTTCTCAGCCTATAAAGACTAGGTATGTTTTAGATCTATGGATTTATCTATCATATCCATAGAGGAACTGAAATCTTGTCTTTAATAATTTTTTTTTTGATTTTTTATATTTTTAGAATTAAAAAAATAAATAATAAATAATTATAATTTATCATTTGGTCACAACAATTGAATATATTATAATCCTATGGATGATCTATCATATCCACAAACCAATTGAAATTTATTCTTTAATAATTATTTTTTATTTTTAGAATTAATAAATAAATAAGTAATTATATTTTATCATTTGATCACAATGATTGAATATATTATAATTTATGGATATGATCTATCATATCCACAAAGCAATTGAAATTTCTTCTTTAATAACTATTTTTTGAATATATTATATAATGTTTATTTATTTTTGATAATTTTTGGAAATAATAATATTTAAATAATAACTAATTATTAATAATATTTTCACTTAGAAATTGTGCAAATGCATGTTTTATGGTTGGATAGGAGAATTGAGTTTTTCCCATGCCATTAAACATTAAAACTTAAGAGTTTTAATTTATAAATTATAGTTAAACATGTGATTTTTAATGAAATTATAATTAACTACAATATATTTCTTCATAAAACCACTAAAATATATTAATTTAATGTATATGCACCTCATTGAGGTCTTATATTTAGTGTTATTGATGTAATTTTATGATTTATTAAAGTATTTATAGTGTTTCCAAGCGTATCTTAGTTTTTTCCGATACGCATGCGTATCCTAGATGTATCCCGATACATCTCTTAAAATTGCCTTTTTGATACACTTGATATTTCGGATACTTTGAACCTTGTGTGCGGTGTATGAGGTATTTGTACAAAGAAAAAACAAAACCTTATGCTTAACATTATCAATAAACTAATACCTCACAAAATCAATATCATTAATGAAAGGGATTTTTGTAGATATTAATTCTATCTACTTTTCCAGTTAAGGAATGATGTGTCATTTCTTCTAAAATCTTTTTTCTCTTCTTTATCTTCTCTACGAGAAGATAAGTTTATTTATTTCCATGTGAAGTGAAGTTATCTTAGAAAACCTCATGTTTTAGGATAGTTAAGGGTACATTAGTATATTCATATAAAAATGGAAGAAAGTAGACTTAGATTATTGGGTTGTGTATAGAAAACTACCTACAACACCAATAATAATAAAAAAAAAAAGTATTGGTTACAAGTTGAAGGGGTTAGTACTAGGGGTAGATGGAAAATAACCTAAGTCGACGTAGTAAGAAATGATTTAAACCTAAATAATTTAGTAGTAAATATGACATTAAATAGAACGGAATGATGAAGCAAGGTTCATATATAGCTAGGATGAGGCTTAGAGGATAATGATGTAGAAAGAATCATCTCTATCTCTAAGAAGAAAAAAAAAAAAAAAAAAAAACTCTTTCTGAAGAAGAAATATGAAGTTTTGAAATCATGAGACTGCTGCCATACTTAAAAAATATAAAGGCCCCTACATTGGATGGTTAAAATCATCTGAACAAGCTTTTTTGTTGTAAGCAATCTCCTACATGGTCTCCACTAATTATATATTTGGATTGAAAGGAATATTAAAAAAAAAATAGTAATGGGATAACCAAGCAGCTAAGCTAAGAATTGTAAACAATTTCCATCACATATGAACCAAAGGAAGGAAAAAGGAAAAAGAAAACAAGAAGAATAAGTGGGACAAAAGAAGAAAACTTTATATGTGATAAATGGGGAATCCCTAGATAAAAGAAATGCCCCCAGAAAAAGTACTACCAGCACTGGCCTAATATCATTGAATTCTTTTGAACAAAATAGCTTAATAACAAGTTATATGATGAAACAGGTTTCACGTAGCTGATCTCATGTTGTCTGGATAAGAGTAATGATAATGAGATTATTATTATTATTTTTTTTTTTTATTTTGCCTCAGGACGTTCTTATTATGTTCACGGACTTGAATCTTTTGTTTTTTTGCAATATTTTCTTGAAGCCTTAGTTCTTTGGAATTGGAATTTGGGGGATGACATGTTGTCATTTGCTAATATCCAAATGGGTATCAGTGCTAAGTGTGTTCCAAGGTAAATGAAATTTCCCTTGAATCTCTTCGAAGTAGATCGCCCGAATAAAATATATATATATAAATGCATTTACCAAAGTAAGTATTAATTAAGAAATATAAACACTTAAATAGCTTATCCGAAAATGAACATCATTTTAAGCATATCCTCTTTGAGTCATCTTCCATTTCATAAGAACAAAAAAAAAAAAAAAAAAATCAATTAAGAACTGATAAAAAACAAATGGCTGATAAGTAGGGGTGGATTCGAGCCGAGCCGAGCCGAGCTGAATAGTATGAAGCTCGAGCTCGGCTCGCCAAGGTTGTATAAGGTTCGAGCTTGAGCTCAAGTAAAAAACTCATAAGCTTGAGCTCGGCTCTATCCGAACTTGATTTGAGGAAAAATATTTTATAAAAATAAAAAATTATATATAAAAATACTTTTTATTTGATATTTAAAAAATTAAGAATTATAATATTTTTATTATATATTATTTTCTATAATTTTATTATATATATATATATATATATATTTGACCTCGGCGCGAACCTCACGAGCCGAGCTCTATTAAGCTCGAGCTCAACTCATTTATTAATCAAGCCTGTAAATTGGCCTTGAGCTCGAGCTTGGCTGAAACTGAACTGAGCCGAATTTTTTACGAGCTCGAATTCAAGCAAACTCATGAAAAGCTTGAGTTGTTGCCACCCCTACTGAATAAAAAATTTACAGTTGGAAGTGCCTATTTGATCTGATTATTCATTATTTTATTTTGTTTCAAGATTTGTTCATTAAATGAACGGTCCATATGGGTTGCATGTGTATGATTGGAGAAAGAAGCATCGAAGTGACGAGCTTTTTTTTCTTTTTTCTTCTTTTCTTTTTGGTAAGTGGAGTGATAAACCCTTTAATATAACTGCAAACCTAGGTGAGAACCGTTTTCTTGAAAACTAAGAAGTTTTTATGATATTTTTATTTTCTTGTTGAGAATTATTTATTTTCACTTTACCTAATTAGGTAGTATATTCACTTATTGAAAAGGATTAATAATTAATGTTTTCGAACCGCCGTTGATTTGGATGGTCCGACTGTTCAACCCAGGAATCATTCAGACACCGGTTTGGTTTTATCCCAAAAACTGTTGAATTGGTCAATAATATGTTGACTTAGGCAATTAAATTGTTGACCTATTCAATGATTTTTGGATGTTTTTTATTTTAATTATTTTTTTTTAATTTTCTATTTTTTTCATTGAAACAGTATTTGGATTAAATGATTGAGCCATTAACCCCAAAACAGATGGACAGAACAATTCCAATTTTGAGTTGGTTTTTAAAAGGGTTTCTAGCATGTAAGGGCAACTTTTGGGGTTTAATATCAGTAAAAATAATATATTTAAAAATTTTCAAAAATAGGTTAATTTTTTAAAAATAATATCAATAAAGGGCAAAAACACTGTTCATCTTTTTCTTGCCACTTGTTCACTAGAGCCGCCGTTCGCCACCGCTCGCCACCACCTGCCACCGTCGCTTTCGCCTCTGGCAACGGTGGCGCTGGTGGTTTCTTTGTCCAATGCCACCACCTCCGCCTCCGCCTCCGGCAACGTTACCGAAGATAGGTGGAGACAGAGGTGGCGACGGTTGCGGGTAGAGGAATGACCACCAGCGCCACTGTCGCCACCTCTACCTCTGGCAATGTTGCTGGAGGTGGGCGGAGGTGGCAGCGGACGGCGGTCGCGGGTGGTGGCAAGTGGTGGCTCTGGTGAACAAATGGGAAGAAGAAGAAGATGAACAATGTTTTTGCCCTTTATTCATATTATTTTTAAAAATTTAACCTGTTTTTTAAATTTATTTAAATATATTACTTTCTTAATTTTATTATTATTATTATTATTTTTTGAGATAATAGGAGTATAGGGTATATGAGCTGAATTTACCTCCATTTCCTCCCATACTATAAATAAAATATGGGTAATTACCAAAAGAATATAATAAACTATGAGTGGAATTATCATTTAATACAAATAATTTATTCTAATAAAAAAGAATCTATTACGATGTCCAAGAACATAAAATAGTATACCCAAAATAAATATATTAAAATTAGAAAATAGAAAATTGTAATAAGTGGACCCAATTTGGGTCATTAGGTTCCTTAGAATATTAATAAACCATTGTAATTATCAAACTATAAAATACTAATTATAAGAATTCCTACCCTTGTCCTACAAGCTACACCTTCTCTCTCTCTCTCTCTCGTCAAGGGTTTTATAAGTGTGTGTTGTATAAGGAAGGATATTCTGTCTCCAGAGTTAAGCTTCAACTCTCAAGTCTCAACGATCTATTACTGTGATTCTGCACTTTCCTCCTTGTTGTTCTCTTTCTCAGACCTGCTGAAAAAACCTCTGCAAGTTTTCATACCTGGCCACTTCTGTAGGTTTTGGGCTTTGAACATTTTATCGGTTTTGTTTGACCAGGGAGTATAACAGAAGACTTCATTGGTTCTGCAACCGGTTGGGTTCAGAGATTGAAATCTTCTGCAAGTGGGGTTTTTAATATTGTAGTTTATACTCGAAAACCAAGATAGAAATGTTTGAGTTCAAGACGGTAAAGAAGAAAATGTGGATGTTCTCTATTTGACTGCTGCAGAGTAGATTGCTCTCTTTTATTTTTATTTTTTTTGCGTAATGGAAGGTATGAAAAGAAGCAGAACAAAGGGACTGCGTGGAGGATTAGAAGATAAACTGCGTCGACGAAGGTTGTTCTTTTGGAACGCTCCGACGAATCGCCCGCCTGGTTTTGGAACATCATTTCAGCTTATTCAGTTCTGGTTCTTGGATTCATAGAGTGGAGCTAATTAGAAAATGGGTTCGTTTTCTTGGAATTCAAATGCTGTTTATAAGACTGAATTTCCGAAATTATTTGATGGGTTCTCGCCAAATGCTGGGTTTCGGATGATGGGTCGAAGTGGGTCAGCTTCGTCCTCATCATTGGTTCTGGATAGTGAGAGGGGAGAACTCGTGAAGGCTCCGGAAAAATTGGGGCAGAAGGCCATATCGGAAGAAAAAGCCATTGCTGCTTTGAAGAGCCACAGTGAGGCCGAGAGAAGGCGGAGGGAGAGGATCAATGCTCATCTCTCTACGCTCCGGAAGCTTGTACCCTGCACAGGCAAGGTATATGTTCTTGCGTTCTTTCTGTTTCTTCTATACTGACATGGAATTGTTCTTATCAAAAGCCAAAATCATCTCGAGTTATGAATCTGGGTAAATAGACCTATGCTTGTATTAGATGGCTTAAAGTTAACTTAGAATGTCGATTAATCTGGCGTCGGTTAAATCCATTATATACCAAGATGTCTCTATGAAAAAAAAATAAATTGGAGAGAAAATATTTCGTTCCTTTTCTTTTGTTGGTTTCTTAGTTTGTGCTTAATTCATTCTATGACAAGTAAGACATGAAATTATTTAGAAAGGTTGTTCCTATAACATGTCATTTATGGTATAGTTTTTGGAATCTGAGAAAGTCTTCCCAGTGGACTCAATTTTAACCAAATTTGGTACTGTTTAAAATGGATTTATTTGTGACCTGTATTCTTGATAAGAAAATAAGATACAAAGTTAGAAGATTGTTTATAGTTAATGACCAAAAAGTTGTGAGGGAAATGGTTCATATAATGAAGTTTCAAAACTAAGGATTGGAAATGGTCAAGAGAAATGAAGATTGACCACCTGATTAGTTTACTTGCCTTTGAAATTAGAATATAAATGGAAGAAATTGCTAGAAGGATCATTACCACTCTTTCTTCATTATCTATCATAACTTACTGATCAGAAGGGAAAAGGAATTTTTCATATATATATATATATATATACTTACTTATCAAGAGCAATACTGGTTAGAGTTGATATTCTGAATTAATCTATAGTTCTTTGAGAAATGAATGAAGAAAACAGTCTTACAGATTTTTCCCCTTCTCAGCAAGTAGTATTAGAGATTAACCATCTCCGATTTTTTTAAAGCTGTACTTAAGTTGTGAAGAAATTTTGTTACGGATTTGGTTGCATGTCATTGTCAGTGTAACTGATGAGTTTGATCCTTTTTTTCCCCATGAATGCGTGGAAATGGCCTTTTGAATTGTCAACTTCTGTTGGCAGATGGACAAAGCTTCATTGCTTGCTGAAGTGATCAGTCATGTGAAGGAGCTGAAAAAGAATGCTACAGAAGCTAGCAAGGGCTCTGTCATTCCGATGGATGTTGATGAGGTAAGAGTTGAACCTCATGGGGATGGTTGTGATGGTAGGTCTTTTTTAATCACTGCATCTTTATGTTGTGATTATCGGCCTGAGCTACTGGCTGATATAAGACAAGTACTCGATACTTTCCATCTGAAAACAATAAGAGCTGAGATCTCAACCTTGGGAAGCAGAGTTAAAAACGTCTTTGTAATGACTAGCCATGAAGAAGGGATTACTGACAATGCCACTGAGGTATGCCACCTTGTGAGTTCCATTGAGCAGGCGCTGAAGTCTGTCATTCAAAAGAATACCTCACCAGAATTTTCACCAGGAATAATACTACCGAACAAACGGAGAAGGGTTTCACCTTTTGAATCTTTGAGCTCATCTTCATGAGTGCAGAACTCCTTGTGGGAATGGTGACAATATGCATATTCAATATGGTATGTTTCATGTTTGATGTGTGTTGGAATGCATGGATGTGGAAAAGAGGCCTTTATACTCTGTATTCTCTGCTATTTAAACCCAGGGAGTTTAAGCAAAGACTAGAGGGCCTCTGTATATAACTAAATAAAGTTATAAATATATGCTTGTTTTTATGTGTTTATTCAGTCTTAATAGAGATGTACTGCTATGAATTGTGAAAAGAAGGAAAGAAGAACTATGTTTTCTATTTTTTTTACCGAAGAACCATGTTTTCTTAAGAACTAGTGACATGAACCTGGACGACCCAAATGGGTTTAACGAGTGGTGGGATTGGAATAAGAAGGTGAAGCACGTAACCATTTTACTCTTTTGATTTGTCAAACGAAAAAGTGATGGAGCTGCTGATGACAAAAGAGAACTTGGTATGATGTCACCTCAATATGATCAAAAGAGTATCTTTGGTCACGTTGAAAAGGGGTTCCATCTTACATCCATGCACCAAATAGCACAATACATCTATTCAATCTTTTGGCTGCTTAATATCGCACAGAGGCTATTGCAAAGCAAAAGGTGATGTGAGAGAGAAGAGTTCTGCAATGATTCATGAAAGATTGATTTGCCATTTCGAAAGCAATTGCTCTGATATGCAGTTAGTTTTTTCTCTGTGGTGCAGGGCAGGGGTATGGATCTATGAGTTGCTTGATGCACGTGCACCCTTTTGACCTTATCCCGTATAGTGGGTGTATTGTACAGAGATATTCTCTTTTAGTTTCCCTTTAGTTTCCTTGCAGAAAGTACAGATGGTCTTCTAGGAGCTGTGGTCTCAGTATGGGCTGAAAGCTTGTAACTATGGTGTTGTTTTCTATTGTTTGGTATCATTGTCACTTCTACCATTAACATTTGGATTTGGTCAATACAAAATTGTGAGAAGATATTCTTTTTTACTGCAAGCTTTTTGAGTTTATTAATGCAAGTTACCATTTCTACTTGATGTTTTGTCAAATAAAAGCCAATGATCAATATCATGTATGCGCTTTGTTGGTTGAAGTATTTCATGTAATGTAACAACACATTTCTGAAACATCTGTATTGACCACCCCAGACGTTGTAGGTAGAAGTGGAAATGATACCAAAAAACACCTATGCATTGACAAAGTTGTTTGGTGGATCTAATCCGAACCATATCTTGGATGGTGTTTGGGTTTTTGAGTCTACATAAATTCTAGATTATAGTCAGATTGAACTTAAATCTTTAACTCTAGATAATTTCGTATTTTAGTCTGAATTGGTGCAGTGGATGAGGTATAAGCAAAGGCTTTGCAGCATGGTTTTTAAAACCGAATCGGTCAGGGTTCTGGTTACCGGTTTGAACGGTCTGACCGTTCAACCCGAACAGTCAACCTGTTCTGACAAAATAACAAAAATTAAAAAAAAAAAATAAAAAAATGGTCAAAACCGTTTGAACGGTTAACCGGCCGGTTCAGTGGTTTGCTGATCAAAATCAACAGTTTTAGGAGAAAATGGAACCAGTCAGGTGACTGATTCCCGGTTTTTCCAATCCGACCATCCGGTCCGGTCCGGTTTTGAAAACCATGCTTTGCAGAAGTGTTCTGTTTGTAGAAACTTCTCTTTTTCCTTATTTCTTTTATGGGGTTGGGAAAATGAAGGCTCTGTTTGTTTGAACTTTGAAGTTTAATTTATTTGCACTAGTATGAGAGTACAAATGAGAAAATTGCAAATTCTGGGTTTCATTACCTCATTTGCACCGTCTACACCGTAAACAAACAAAATACAGTAAAAGTTGAAGCAAAAACAAAGCAAAATTTGCATTTCCATACTTCTGCACCAGTTCAAATGAAATTACACGGCAAACAAACCAGGCCTAAAGTCAAAAAGGTTCTGGGTATTGGTAGTTGGTAATGATAACATCTAAATAAGGTGAGTCTGGACATGGGAGGAAGGGTCGGCAAATTTGGTGATAAGTGAGAACCCTGAAGTCAACAAATAAAAAAAAAAAAAACTTTGGATTTGATGAAATAATGCATTACATTAGGCCTCAACGAAATGCAACAACCTCCCAGAACAAATTGAAGAGGAGAAAGCAATTTGTTGGTTGGCTTTTGTTGCTGAACATGTTGCGACGAGATGTTTGATTCTATTAGCTGGTTTTCAAGGGATAATATGTTTGATTCTAATAACTGGTGGTCTGGAATTCTAGCCACTAAGATGAGCTCATTTCTTTACACTGGTGTCCCGACCTTCAGGTTGAGTCAATTTTTTGTATTATTTTATATATATATATATATATATATATATATATATATATATATATATGCATTTGTACTGCTTCCAAATTGAGCATCAGGTCAATGAGTCAGTGGTTCAACTGTCTCGGTCAATGAATCATCATTATAAAAATTTTCAAAAACTAAACTAATACATGTGTCGGATGGATCAACAGTTCAACAAGGTAGTTCATCCCTCAAACCCATAACCCCTAACCCTGGTGAAGGCCAGATTCAATCCTAAGTCTCCACTACGACGGTTCAACTGTTTGGGTTGGTGGATTATTAATTGAGTTAATAATTTTTTGTAAATAGATCACTGGTCTGATAGTTGGGTCAATGATAGATTAAAAACACTGGCTTAAACAATAGATTAAAATAAAGAGATACACAAAGAGAAATTCTGAATTTAATTTTTTTTCGGAGATTACTTTTAGGCTGTGTTTGGTTTGAAGGAAAAGGTAGGGAAATCTTCAACCCAACACAGCCTTTTAAGTCTTAGACGCAAACGAAACTAATTAAACTAGCAAGCCCATAATTCTCGTGGACTTCGAAAATTATTCCCCACTTTTGGGACTCTTTTAAAATTAGTTAATGTGGATGTTGACTTAGGGATGTCAATTGAACTGGATTTGGTCCAATCCGATTCAGTCTAATGTGAGTCCATTATAAATGGATCGGGTCTAATCTAATCCAATGAATGTTTTGGATTTATTTGGACCGGTCCAATTCAATGTTTAGACTGTTCAATCTGTTTAAATTCATTTTGACTTAAATTGATTTCAACCCAAAGCCAGTTCATTGATACATATATTCTTATTTTATATCAATGGGCCAGATATTGGCTTAATCCAACCCAATCCAATATAAATTTGTTACGGATGGACCAGGTCCAATCCAATCCAATCTATTGAATTAGTCCAATCCAATATGTCTTATTGGTCTGCCCAATCCGTCCAAATCGATTTAAGACTGGACGGGGTCCAATCCAAAACCGGTCCGTTGACACCCTTAAATGTTGTCCTTTGCAACGAGCCCTCCATGTCTATGTGGAGGGACAGGCCACATCCGAGGAAACAGAATATCTGGATCTGAAAACCAAAAATTTTAAGTCCCATCGTCCATACTCTATGCTAGTGTTGCAAGGAAAACTTATCTGGACCCAGCCACAAATTCGAAGCAGCCCAATATATTTATGCAGGCCCACGACAAATGATTTGGTTGGGTCTTACTCTTACCTCTCCGGCTTTCCGACCATAAGGTTGTGTTTTTGCATAAAAATATTTTGGATTATAAGCATGATTTTCAAAACCGGATTGGAAAAATCGGCCTGACCAGTTCTGTTTTTTTCTAAAACTGTTAATTTTGGTCAGTAAACCGCTGGCCAATTAATCGTTCGAACGGTTTTGACCGTTTATTAATTTTTATATTTTTTTTAATTTTTTTTGTCAGAATAGACTGACTGTTTGAGTCAAATGATCAGACCGTTCGAACCGATAACCAAACCCCTGACTGGTTCGATTTTAAAAGCTACTGCTGTGGGAGGGTGAAATCTAATGAAAGGAGGAAGAATATTTTAGATGATAAAAAAAAGTGGGACTCATTTTGTGAGGCTCCAAGTTCCAATGCCAGACACCCTGCAACTGCGTATTTCACCATATCAACATAAATGACCTATGGATATTTTTTTTGATATTCGGTGCCATATACCATTAATAATTTCTCCCTCTGACCCTTTTTTTTTTTGATTTTGCGTCAATATTGAAACAAACCAGTTTATACATCAACAAGTCAGCGCTCAATTGGTATAGCCCATGAATATTCAAGTTCCGATCCAACATTCTCACACAACATCCACATAGAACGTGCCCTTTTTGACCACCTCCTGCTTCACGTTGATCATAAATCAATTACCCAGATTGAATCTTGAACAGCTTGTAATTGTAATTGCTCAATTTGAATTATGAACCATTAACCATAGAAAGCAGGAGCCCAAGCCCACCCAATTCTTCTCGTGATATGGTTGGCCAATCCAAACTTCCCAACTCAATTTAGACTTCATATTGTAAATTCATCAATCCAAACGGGAGTATTTATTTCAACCAACCCACAAAACCTGGACACAAAACCTAGGCCCAACCCAAAAATTTGTTGAGAGGGAATGATCATTCCCTTAAAATGGGGAATGCTATTCCATTAAGAATGAGAATGGGATTTTGATTATAATCAATCAAATGGTTGGAATTAGAATAGGTCATTCAGATTTGGATTCCAAACCCCTATTCCCAGGAATCAAATGGGCCCTAAATTCTATTAATTAGATATATATTTAATACATTTAACAATATAAAATCCATGTTTTTTTCAGCTAAACAAAAAGTGAAACCTTCTTCTATCCTCGTGGTGAGTTTATGGGTGCAAATGGATCAGATCCGGATCTGAGATCCAATCATATTTGGTCGAATTCGGATCCCCCTATTTGGATATTCGGATCGGATTCGGACCACGCCTATTTGATCTGGTATATATTATATATTTATATATTTATAAATATAAATATAATATATATACATATATGCTATTTATTTATTTATAAATATATTTTATATATTTGTTATATTATTTATTTTTTTATAAAAAACATGTATATATATGATGAAAATAATTAAAGTACTTGAAATTTTGTTTTTATTTTATTTAAATTAGTATATTTTATTTTTATTTTAATAATTTATTAATTTTAAAGAAAACAAATCAGATCGGATCAGATCTGAAGATTTGACTTACCAATAGGATTCAAATTTAAATTGAATCCTATCAAATCCGATCGGATTTTTGGATTAGATTGGATTCGAATATACCTTGATTCGAATTTGATTCGATCTTTTTACATCCCTATGGTGAATGAGCAATTCTACCATCCAGTTAAAGTGAGTTAACTCATTATATCAGAATTAAAACATAAAAAATAAAAAAAAAATAAAACCTAAACAATTATAAAAAATACATAAATTTAATAGAAACATATGATACATTTAACATCTTTAATATTATATATTCATCATATTAAAAGAAATAAATATAATAAATAAAACAATAATTTCATATACATAAAAAATAAAAATATTAAAAAATATATAAAAGAAAATTGAATAAGTGAGATTTCTATTGCCAATGACACACTACACTTCATTGTATGTCCTTCATTAGAAGGGTATAAAATAATGAGGTGAGCTTTCCTAGAAAAACTAAGGAACAGCATAAATATGGTGGGACCCTAAGTAATTAAATTGTATATTCTTTTTTATTAACACCACCAAAGTCCACAAGTTTTCAGAATCCCAAGGGCTAGCAAGAAAACAGAGACCCGACAATTAAAACTGTCACTTTGGGAGTTGGTATCTGCTCCTTACATTGGGCGCCTCACACCGACCTTACAGGCGCATCCCACTGAGAACATCTCCCGCCCTGTGTGAAGAACAGATCCCAATTGGAAATCGACGGCCTTGATGCAAATGCAAGCAACGCAACCCTGAAGTCTGAACCCACTGCCTGGCTGGTCAATTTTTCGGTTCACCTGAAAATCGTTGTAATTAGCTACCTTTTTATATTCGAATCCGTCAAATTCAAGCCCCACCAGAACCCTGGAAATGCCCTGTTTGGTGTGTTAGCTCATCTTCTCCCTCCACATTTCTCACATCTTCTTTCCCTCCCCTTGCACCTTCTCTGGCACAGTCTCCAGAATGGAGTTACCGGTAAGGACACCGGTTTCCGGTGGCCGGAAAACACAGTATAGAATAGAAACCAAGAAACTCTCTTACAGGTTATGTCGGCAGGTCGACGAATACAGATGGTTATATTGCCATGGGAGTTCTGGGTGCACTACTAGATTCGTTCTAAGGAATGTTGATTGTGTAGCGAAGGCTGGGGAGCTCACTGTAATTGCTGGGCCTAGTGGAGCTGGGAAGACTACACTGTTGGAAATTCTTGCCGGAATTAACCGGCCGGCTAAAGTTTCAGGTCAGGTTCTCGTCAATGGCCAGCCCATGGATGCTGCGCATTTTCGGAGAGTGTCGGGCTATGTCACCCAACATGACGCGCTCTTCCCACTGTTGACAGTGGAAGAAACTCTCATGTATAGTGCCCGTCTGAGGGGATGTGGTGGGCCTAGCGTGGCAGCAGCTAGAGTGAGAGAACTACTGAAGGAGCTGGGGTTGGACCATGTGGCGGGTTCGAGAATCGGTGGGGATTCCTCTCGTGGCATCTCCGGCGGTGAGAAGCGCAGAGTCTCGATTGGGGTTGATTTAGTGCATGACCCATCTGTTCTTCTGATCGACGAGCCGACGTCTGGTTTGGACTCTGCATCCGCTCTTCATGTGGTCTCATTGCTTAAGTCAATGGTGGTGAATCAAGGTAAGACAATTGTTCTGAGCATTCATCAACCCGGTTTCCGTATTCTCGAGCTATTTGATCAAGTTGTTCTGCTATCAAATGGAACTGTTCTTCACCATGGATCACTGTGTTACCTTGAGGAGAGGCTAAAGAAAGCTGGCCACTGTATTCCTCGACATGTAAATGTGCTTGAGTTCGCTCTTAGTGTGACAGATACTCTGGAGAAAGTTAATAGAGACCCAGAAGAAGATGAGCAAGAAGAGCAGCAGTTAATGAGAACTATATATGATTATGTTGAAGAAAAGCATCTATTCTATCCAAATTCTCGGTTTCAGGAGGTCTTAATTCTAAGCCAGAGATTCTGCAATAACACATTCAGAACCAAGCAACTTTTCGCAGCAAGAATGATTCAAGCCATAGTAGCCGGGGTAGTGCTGGGTACCATCTTCATGAATGCTAATAATGACAGAAGCTGGGCCCAGTTGCAGACCAGACTGGGCTTCTTTGCTTTCAGTCTCACCTTCTTGCTCTCCTCAACAGCAGAAGGTCTTCCAATTTTCTTACAGGAGAGAAGAATTTTGATGAGAGAGACTTCCAGAGGAGCCTACAGAGTCTCATCCTATGTAATTGCCAACACCCTGGTCTTCCTTCCTTTCCTTCTACTGTTTGCTCTTCTCTTCAGCATCCCCGTATTGATGTCGAATTCATTTGCTGCATGCTTCAGTGCTCTGGTGCCGAATTTCATCATGGGGACCTCCTTGATAGCTGGGTTTATGGGTTCTTTTTTCCTCTTCTCAGGGTACTTTATAGCAAAAGCCAGCATACCCAATTACTGGATTTTCATGCATTACTTGAGTTTGTTCAAGTACCCATTTGAGTGCTTTATGATAAATGAGTATGGGGGAGAGAAGGGGAGGAGAATGTGCTTGGTGAGAGAGGGAGGAGTATGCATTTTCTATGGGGATGGGTTCTTGAGACAGCAGGAATTGAGAGAGTTGCAGAAATGGAGAAATTTAGGGGTGATGTTCAGTTTCATTGTTGGGTACAGAGTGCTTTCTTATTTGATTTTGTGGTATAGATGTTATAGGACCAGAAATTAGAAGGGTTTCTTTTTCTCTATCTGTTAAATGGGAAAAAGGAAAGGAACAAATTAGGGGATTTTATTTGTTCAATTGGTCATGATATTTGAATTGATGTGTAATTATTTTTTTGACATTTATTTCATATTTGTTTCAATTATTGGATCTATGCAAATAAACAAAGTATTGTGCTAGAGCGTAGAGCAGCCAACCTGTGGTCATCTTCACCTCTTGATTTTGATGCTTAGGTGGGCTTATACCTGTTCGTTGGCTTGCTTTTTTTTATGTATAAACAGAATACATTCAGGCCCAATCAAAAATTTGAAAATACAAAACTTTTTTTTCTTGTTTATTCAATAAAAAGTGTTTTATTTATATTAAAAGCACTGAAAACTTAAAAATAATAAAGCATCTCATTATTACTTAAAAAAATAGAAGAGATACAAAGAAAATTATTGTATATATTTTTATGAAACAATATATATTTTTATTATATAACATATATTATCAAGTCGGGCTTGGCCTCAGGCCGTGTTGGCCCGTTGGCTACCTGACCCATGAACAGGTCTAGGTGGGCCCAAATCGGGATTAGTGGTTTCTGGGCAAGTCTAATCTATACTATATATTAAAACAAGGCTGACCACCTAAGATGGCCTCTCCTTGTTCCATTGTCCCAACTCAGCAATTCTAGAGGGGTAACTTATGAATCCAGATCTCCTGCCCAAGTCTACCCACATATCACCGCAGTCACACATGAGTACTGTGTCATCCTCCTATATATGATTATGCAGGGGGAGATGTTCTAAATTTTGCGGGCCTGATACGGGCCCGGGCCCGGGCTGGGCCTTAATATAAAACCTAGGTCCAAGCCCGGATTTTCCGGACCAGGCTGAAATGATCACCCCTAATTTAAACGTGTATTCTCCAAAATTTTGAAAAATTAAATGGCTCTGTATGTTTAGAACATTGGTTTAGATTATACGTGTTTGAAGTTAACAATTTTCTAATGATGTTAACCACTCTGTTTTTTTTTTTTCTTTTTTTGTTAGGCTTGAATTTTGAAGGTGGGTTTAGCCACTCTCACTTTCCTAATTTCTTGGGCAAATCTATACTATATTTCTTTATGTATATATATATATTATTTAAAAATATTTGATAATTGATGTTTTATATATTAAATAGAGATTAATAGAGATTTGTAGGAAATTAAAGATTTTAATCCTAGGGTCTTAGATCTTACCAAATTCTAATTTAGTACTTAATAAAATATAGAAAGTACTAAACCCTAATCTTTCCGTTCTCGGCTCTCTCTCTCACCAATTTCACAAAACCACCAATTGAAACTTATAAATTACAAGGTATAATTATTTAATTTCTTTTATGTTAGCAGCTTTTATTTTGATATTAAGTTTAAAGTTTCTTACAGGTTACTATAGGCATGAAATCTTGGCCTGGCCCGGCTTAGGCCCATGTAGGGCCGGGCTTGGGCTTATATTTTTAGGTCCATAATGCGGGTCGGGTCACGCCTAGGCCTAGCCTAAGCCCTTTGTTATAAAGACAAAGCCCGGCCCGACCCATGATTACCCCTAGTCTAAATGTGTACATCAATGTTCCAATTTTCTCACTAACTCCTAAAATATTTTGCTTTCCATTGTTATAACTTTCTATTTTCTTCTTCCCACATGGACTTGGCTACGAGTGCAAGTGGATCGGATTGTGATCCAATTTGATTTGAATGAATCCGATCCTATTTTTGTCAAATTCGGGTTAGCCCTCCGTCGGATTTTCAACTTGGATAATATGAGGTGATTGAAAATTGGATTGAATTCAGATCACCCCCTATATATATAAACATATTTACTTATAAAAAAATAATAATATATTTATTAGAATATTTATTTATATTACATTTTTTGTAAAATTTTTATAAAAAGACATGTATATAATAATATATATGATGAAAATACGTATTTTTTTGTTTTTCTTTATACATATTATTATATTTTTTCTTTTAAAATAATTATTAAAATTCTTAGAATTTGTATTAGATCGACATCCTTAAAGGATTCGAATTTGAATTACCATTTGGGAGATCCGGTCGGATCTCGGATGTGCTGTCGAATTAGACTACCGGTGTCAGATTTTAATATATAGTATAGATTTTTATCATATACTGGCGAGACTGCCGATTGCCGAGGTAGAATAGGTTGTTAGACAGGGACAACCTATATAGGCTGTAAAATAAAACCATTATGGAATTATACATGCTGTGTATCTTGGAGTTGTAAAGCCCTGAATATTAGACCCATTTTGGCAATGTAGGTTGAAGGAGATAAACATGGCCACCATGGACTCTGTTTATATATATATAATTTTCATTGTAGTTTTGGTTTCCGTCATGTAATTAATGATTTATTTGAGCGAATCTTTAATGCTTTCTTCTTCTTCTAGTTGCAAAGCAAAATTCTCCATTTATGCCAATTTTTGCATGAAAGATTTACCAAGAAATGACTTCTGATGAGGGTCGACCTATACCAAGTCCCTGTTGGCAGTGACAACTCGAAAGATGCTAGATGAGATGGACATGTCGAATCTACAAGATAAAACACATCAGACAATCTAGGGGAATGACCCAGGTAGGGGACTCTAACGGTCAAGGTAGTACTGAGCTGCCCAGGTGGAAGAGATGTGACAGATAGGAAATCGAAACAGAGAGTTGGTATGCAAAAGAGTCATCCTGAGGTCAGCGTGACACCTCAGCTTGTGGGCTGCCCAGGTCAGAGAGGTAGGTCGGTGTTCGGGGGTAGTTAATGGACATGCATTTTAGAGGTCCTGTAAGCCCATATGCCCGTCTACTCTTAAGCGAGATTGGAGTTAGCTTAGGTAGCATAAGTCAATCTGTCAAAGTGCATTCAAATGAGATCGTGCCACATGTGATGTCGAGATGTCATAAGACGGTTTTAGCTGGCACATGACAGCTCGTGATTGGAGGGTTATTTTACCCCTCACCAACTTCCATCAACAAGTTCTGCTTAGACTTTGAACTTTTGATTTCTTTTGCAATATGGGCCCATGTGTTGACATTACCTGTATTGTTGTAAGTTAAATTCAATTAATAATAATAGTTTGTAAAATTAATTATTTAGTTAATTAATCTTACTAATTCATAACATTATTCATTTAATTTCCATTTAAAATGGTTAACATAATATAAAAATCAAAATAATTATTGATTTTCAATTTTAACAATAATAAGCCCGAAACTAGATCTATTGCATTTTTGTGTGGATCTAATTTTTTAACTGTATACTACTTAGATTCTTGCCAGTGATGGCAGGCACGACCATCCTAAACCACTTATTTAGATCGTTTAGCATTTTTATAATTTTTTTTTTCATATTTCAATGAAAAAACCATTATCTGAATATTGTTTGGATTTTTAAGAATATTACTCAAATAATAATGCATTATCTAGACATTTGTTTGGATGTTCTTGCATAATATAACGATTTATATGCATAATCAGAATTCTTTGTTGAAATTTTTGGAATATTACTCTAATAATATGCAATTCCCGAACTTTTTTTGTTATATGGATTTGTAAAGTAGGGTATAAAAACATCATTTTCGCAAAATTAAGCACTTATTGGAGAAGAGGCTTGCAAAATATCCTCACCCCAATAAGTACTTAATCTAAGTATAGTGATTTGGGAAAGGGGTTGTCAAACAAAAATAAGTATTTTTTAAACCACTTATCCGCCAAACATAGCCAAAATAGTAAAAGGTGAAAATTAACAAAAAAAAAAAAACAGCTTCTTACGGTAGTTGTTAATTCTCAATGGACACTTTTTCAACAAAAGCAACTCTCATATCATTTTAAGTTTCGGACAAAACATCTTTCCCCTCCCCCCGCCCCCTCTCTTTTTCTCTCAGTGTTTTTGAATCATCATTGACTTAGGCAATTGGATTGTTTGGCCCGGGAACCGTCCAGGCAATCGGTTCTGTTTCACCTTTAAATCGGTCTTTGGCCAAAAATCATTGATTTGGTCAACAACCCATGGACCTGAGCAGTGGAATCGTTGACCCGTTCAATGGTTTTTTATTTTAATTATTTTTAATTTATAAATTTTTTAAGTTGGAATGGGTTGTCTGTTCGAATTGAACAGTCAAACTGTTGACCCAAAAACCGATGGCCAGAAGGTTCCAGTTCCGCGTTGGTTTTTATAACCTTGCTTTCTGATGGAGGATGATTTGGCCCGACCTACGAAACGGTGACACGTGGACCTGATTCAGCGCGAGTAACAGCTCAACATCGTGGCCTATTACGACCAAGTAATGAGCCCATAAAGCAGCTCACCGCATCGTAGCTCGTAAAGAAGGTGCTCGCCACAACGCGAGCTCCGGGTTCCCTGAGCTACCCCGAAGGGGATATTCCGAGGCAACTTTAGCTCGCGAGCTAGGGAAACCAGCTCGCTCGGGCCCCCAAGCAGATAAGCCGTCCCAAGGACCAATTCTACTAAGGGTAACCCTGAAATATTCCCAAGCTCGCTACAAAGTGGCTCACAAGTGCACAGCATGAGCGTTCCTCAGGAAGCTTCTATTTGACAGGTCGTACCGATCAGACTGCGCCACGTCCCTTAACTGATGGCGCAGTCTCTGTCCTTTCGATAGTCTGCGCCCATGTCTCTCGACAAACGGAGGCGTGCCTGCCCCTTGGAAATGTGTTACTCACCCGGGGAAGGAGTACGTTGCAACGGCCACCTGCGCAGACTGGCAGGTAACGGTTGTGGCAGGGGTCCAGTGGCGGTTACGCTCGATCTGACAAAAACGCCCCTATAAAAGCCCTCAAGGCAGAGGGGAAAAGGGATATTCAGACTTTGGAACACTTTAACATTCTCATACTCTAAACTGCATACATCTTTGCTCGCGAGCTAATCTCTCGAGCACAGTAATAAAGCGCGACATACACTCTTAGCTTTAGCACTCTTCTTTTCTCTTTCCCATGCGTTCTGACTTAAGCATCGGAGTATTCCCACCGGGTAAATCCCTGGGAATCCTTCTTTTCCGTCTTCTCAGGTGCCGTCCGACGCCAACAAGGAGCTAGTCAACAG